AGCATTCCAGCCTACACTTGCGACTCCGAGAAAGGTAGCAAACACGGATTGGTGAAAAAAAGGAACGTTTAATGTGTAATGGTTGAAGTGTATACGCTAGCATTGGAAATGTGTAACGCGGGTAGAGTGATGTGAACTATGTGATGTGATATATGTATAATGTACTTACCCATGGCAGAACGTGTACATGTAAACAACGTTGCCTATACCCCTCCCCACCCCTCCCCTTTTTATTCTGTACCCCCCCCCCATACGCTGCCTTTTGATGTATGACAAAATAAAAATTGTCAAATTGAAAAAAATATATATATATATTTATATCAAAATACACGTAGAACAAAATAATATATATATATCTATATACATAAATATATACGTATATATCACTATATACATATGCACACATATATTAATTCTACATATATATTTATGTAATATTTTTACATAATTAGGTATCTTAATTAATTACAATTAGCGGGACTTGCCTGACAACCCAATGCCGAAAGTATAGGGACTTTAATTTGCTAGCAATATATTTAACACTATAACTTTCCAAGGGGGGTACTGTTTTACTCAGGAGACTTCGCTGGACACAAATATTAGTGTTTCAAAACAGTAAACTGTATTACAACAATGATATCGCCAGTAAAAGTGACGTTTTTTACATTTTTCATGCACAAACAGCACTTACACGGACGATATTATTGCTGTGATACCTTTTACTGTTTTGAAACACACATACTTGTGTTCAGTGAAGCCTACCGCGTACAACAGTACCCCTCATGTACAGGTTTTATTGTGTTTTCAAAAGTTACAGCGTCAAATATAAGGCTTGTGCTTCATTTTTTCACATTAAAATTCGCCAGATTGGTTACGTTGCCTTTGAGACCCTATGGTAGCCCAAGAATGAAAATTACCCCTATGATGGCATACCATTTGCAATAGTAGACAACCCAAGGTATTGCAAATGGAGTATGTCCAGTCTTTTTTAGTAGCCACTTAGTCACAAACACTGGCCAAAATTGGCGTTTTTTTGCATTTTTCACACACAAACAAATATTAATGCTAACTTTGGCCAGTGTTTGTGACCAAATGGCTACTAAAAAGACTGGACATACCCCATTTGCAATACCTTGGGTTGTCTACTATTGCAAATGGTATGCCATTATGGGTGTAAATTTCATTCCTGGGCTACTATACAGTCTCAAAGGCAACGTAACCAATCTGGCGAATTTCAATTTCAAATGTAACGTGCTATATTTGACCCTGTAACTTCCCAAAACACCATAAAACCTGTACATAGGGGGTACTGTCTTACACGTGAGACTTTGCTGAATACAAATATGTGTATTTTATTGCAGTAAAAGCAAACAGTATTATGACATTGACAGTTAAAATGTCATGTAGAACTAGAAAAATAACAAAATTTCTTATTTTCTCCCATTTTTTTTCATATTAAATTATGTTTCAAAGCTAAATATTTGATATTAAATGAAAGCCCTGTTTCCCCTGAATAAAATGATATCTAATAAGGGTGGGTGCATTTAATATGAAAGAGGTGAATTACGGTTGGACAGACATGTAGCGCAAATGCCAGGTTTTGTTTACGTTTTGTTTTGTTCACAACAAGTACATTTGGCTCAGTCCTTAAGGGGTTAAATTAATACACTGGCCCGTTCCCTCCCTCAAATGAATACACTGGCCCCCTGCACCAATTTAAAACACTACATGGGAAAATCCTCTAACCCCTTCTTCTCCTACTTTAAGATGATCCGCCTGTCCCCCAGTTCCAGCCCTGCTCTGCTCAAGCAGGCCAGGCGCTCCTTTGGCACTGTGAGCAGAAGGAAAGGGGGAGTGACTTGGTTGCTCTGCAGACAGACAGCCACTCTGCCCTCTTGTGGCCGTGGGAGGGAAGACAATAATCAGACAGGAAATATCTTTCTTGTCTTGCGTGGAGTATGTAAAATGTGGGTGTTTATTATATAAAAATTCCTATTATTTATTAGACATAATATGTTTTTCTCTTCTGATAACTCCTTTAGTGTTTTGCTCATTTCAATTATTGGATCTTTTTTAATTGCCTATATGCATTTCCTACTGTGAGCTGTCTTTCACATTCAAACTTTATGCTTGGTGGATCCATCGAACTCAAGGAGCTTGATCCCTGCAAGGCACAAACTATTTGTCTGCTATTTAGTGCCACCTTCATTTAATTTTTTGATATGTTAATATCAAAATTATACCTTTATAAATATTAGCATCAATAAAACTTTTTTTTATATATTTATGAAACAATATAACATACAATTATAATTCAGTGCTTAAGTCAAATTATTACAGTCCAAGTGGAAGCTCTTGCAGCAAGTATGGAGTCTCTCTCTTCTGATCAAAATCTGGATAGAAAACCAGGGGGAGATGCAGAGTCTAAGTAGTCCTTGGTTTAGTATATGTAACATGGAACGAAAAAAACAGAGGAACACAATAGAACACAATAGTGTAGTATATAAAAATAGGAATGGTGCAAGTCAAAAAGTATAAAATGTGCACTCACACTTTTTAATACAGCTCCAAAATATGCACCTGGGTGGAATAATCACCGCCTAAGGATCAATTGCGAGTTTAATTTTTTTTATGTTCGTGGCAGTATGAGGTATCCTCATGAAAGAGATAAAAAAAAAACGTATATGGTGAAGTATGTAGAGCTATGAAACAAGGGTAGGTGTAGATATAAAATGTGCCCTCACATGTGATGGAGCCATAGATATGGCTCCAAGGAAAGTGTGTGAAGTGGTATGATCCCCACTCAAGGATACAGGTGTAGATGGTAGTTCTTGGTTTATATATATATATAAACAAATAAAACCACAACAGTGTACACCATGATATAAAGTGAGAGACAAAAAAAAATGTAAAAGACCTACTCACATTTTTGAGAGCAAAGTACCATTTGTTCAATCCAATGCGCGTAGGTGGTATTATCCCCACCAAGGATATAGCTCAGAAATCTGGCAGCAGCAGAAAATCATCCAATAAAAAAGTACTTTAATATTAAAAAAAATAAGAAGTAACAGAATAAAATAAATTTATAAAACAATATATAAAATACACTTAACGCAATTCACCTAAATCCTAGGCTTTCTCAAAAGACTTTATAGAGTAACTAGGACCATAGCTGCTTAAATAGGGTAGTAGAATTCAAAACTAATGGTTATGTGATGTCATAGTTACATGACCAACACCAATTAACTTTGAATTGTTGTTAAAAGTAGCATTTATTAAAATTTTTTTTTTTTTTAAATGGATGGTTAGGAGGTTAGGTAGTTAGGGGTGAAGGGAAGAAAGTAGGGTAAAAATATATTTAAAAAACTAGTATTTTTGCTCAAAATAAACTTTATTTGTTGTAAACTTACAATTCAGGATGGCGTCGTGGCCACGTCACAATGGGACTGCCTGAGGGAATTTTTATGTCTACATAAACCTAAAAAAAATCCCCCAGGCCGTCCCATTGTCTCTGGATTAAACTCAGTATTATCCAATCTTTCTAAATATTATAACTTAATTCTCCAACCTTATGTACAAAACACAAAATCTTATTTAAAGGATAGTACGGGCCTCCTTAAAATTCTAAAAAATGTAGAATGGTACACCATCATCCCCCATGATATAGGCTGCAGTGCAATTAGGAAAATATTAGTAAGAGAAAAAATATTCCTAAAACACAAATTGATTTTATTGTGGAAGGTATCTGGCTTATTTTAAATAACAATTATTTTTGGTTTTATGATACTTTTTATCTTCAAAAAACAGGCATGGCAATGGGTACTAGATTTGCCCCCATTAATGTCAACTTCTTTATGGCTGATTGGGAAGATTTCGCTATATGGGGCGGGCATGGCTGGGGTGCAATCTTGTTGCTCTACCATTGATATATCTATGACTTGTTTTTTTATCTGGAAAGCGTCAGAAGACGTTTTAACAGAATTTTTAAGTTCTAATTATAGTAAAACATCTATAAAATTTCTGTACCCTGAAATCTGTCAAACAATACTGCCAACACCCACACATTCTTTAAGAAAGTGCATACTAACACATTCATAGACCTTGCTAGTTGTCATTATGCCCCCTGGCTCAACAGTATCCCTAAGAGCAAGTAACTAAGATAAAAAAGAAATTGCACAGCCTATACCACTTTTAATACCCAAGCTCAAATACTGAAATTACAAATTTGTTGAAAAGAAATATAACACTAATACTTTGGACACTCTAATCAACAATGCAGGCACCCTAGATAGGAAGTCTCTCTTGGAATATAAACCCATATATAAAAAGGACACAATTCCTCCCTTAGTTTTTAATTACAATAATAAAAGCCACCAAGTGAAAAAAAAAAAAAGATTAATAAACATTGGGATAGACTAAAGGAAGATGTTATATTAAAAAAGGTTCTTCCCCCTAAACCTACAATAGTGTTTAGAGGATCCCCAAACCTTAGATCCTTCTTAACCACAAATTACACAAGAAAATCTATGAAACAAAAAAACTACATTCCTAAACAAACAAGGTTTTTTGGTTTTTTTTATTCTTTATTTTTGTGATGCAGAAATACATATACAGGTTTATAGACACATAAATGTAAATACATAACAATGAAGATCTGCTTATGTCAGAGATTTCTACATTCTTTTTTTTGTTGTTAAAGATATAATATGCAAGATGAACTTTTACAAGCAGAATTAACTATCTGTCAAAGGGCATGAGCAAGATATACTTAGTAGTAAGCAATGACAGATTTATGCCAAACTAGAAAAGCAGATAAATAGACAAGATAAATGCTGTTAATCATATTAGACTGTAGAGCTTTGTATGGACATTAAAAGTAAACTACATTAGTTGCTAAACTACAAAGCTTGGTATGTGACAGGAGTCCACTGCAATATACGTGAACTGGGAGAATGCCCGTGCCGGTAAGACAACCTGATCCCTCTAGCTATTTCACCAGACTACCAGTTTATGGGAGGACTGCTGGGCTCTTGACAGGAGGTCTCTGGCAGGTATGTAGATGTGCTGTAGAGGCAGCAGTTGTAGCCCTGCACCTGAGTGGTAGGAGTTGCCATCTGGAGGGGCTGTGTATTGTAAAGTCCCATAGCCATGTTCCCAGGCCTTGCTCCTCAGTGCTGTATATGCAGGTCCAAGTTTGGCAGGTTTCCCCAGTCACTCTCACCTCTGCTGTGTTGAGGAAATATTCTGCTGATCTGGCTGAGAGCAGGGAGGTTCTGAACGAGGAGCAATCAGATGTGCACTGGAGTGCTGTGTCAGAGACTCTGTGGTGATCGGCTCAAATAGCTGCTGGTAATGCTCCTGTGCTTCCAAATTAGCCCAGAAACATTCAAAGATTAAATCTATCTGGGCCAGAAACTCCGCCATGAAAGATTCGGCTGTGGGCTCTTCTGTGGTCACCACCATCGTGGAAGCCATGTGGCACTCAGCAATAGTAAGTGGTAGGAGGTGGGTAGCCTCCTGGGACCGGGATAACCCAGGCCAGTCCAAAGAAAAGGTGGGGGGGTGAGAATGTGGAAGCAGGCTTAGGTAGCACAAATTAGCGGCTGGAAGGCTGCGGTCCCTTTGTCGCCAGATGCGCTTGTAGGTCGCAATAAGTGGCAGAATGGGCCTAAAAGGCTCCGAGTTTGGTATC